TCTCTAATTGAGTGGATAAGCCTAAAATGTGTGACACTTTTCTCTGTAGTGAAGCAATATTGGCTGTTTTTAAGGTTCATACTTTGATATGTGTTGTGTAATATATTTGACACTGTATTGTTCATTTTTATGAACTGAATAACAGAAACTTGAAGATTTAACATAAATTATATTGAAGTATTTGTAGTCTTTGTACAAGTGGATAAAATGGTCATACTGAAATAAAAGCTTTTTCACTCTAATTCCTGTTATGTCTCTATGGCACACAAAAAGCTGCTCCTATGACAGCTGAAAAGTTTCATTGTTCCATTTGTTTTTTATTAGGCAGAAAATTCTTAAACTGGATCACTTTCAAAAGGGGAACTTAACCATAAATGCAGGCCTGCAGCTGTCTCAAAATATAACTTGCATTTGTATTCATTTCTCACACTTCAGAGGTAACTTTGGAGAATTGAGCTTGAATTTGTATTCTTAACAGAATCTCATTGTCCAGAAGTGAAGTAAAATGAAGCTGGTTCTTACTTTTTTTCATGAATACTTTTTACTTCTGTATGCTTTGAGTGCAGAAATACATAATTTTGATAAAATCTTAGTAGATTGAAATACATTACTCCCATTTCATAGTGTGCTTTTCTAACAGGAAAAAAGATAATTTCAATCCCCTGAGAACAATTATTTATTAAATGGTAAACTTTGATCAAAATCTCTCTTCATGCTCCTGAATAATTGAGATGTGCATTAAAGTTGAACCAGATTTGTAGGAATTAAAAAAAAAACTTTATTATCCAAAGTGTAAAACTATGGACTAATGGTACTCCAAGATTTGTAGTGTTATTTAAAAGCAAATGTAAGGGAAACATTCACCAGTCAAGCTTAGCTGAGTTATCATAAAAAAATAATGCTGCCAATTAGCTTGTTCTGGTTTTGTGTTCATGCTGATTGGGTTGTCCCTACCAAACCACTTGCTAATTTTCCTTTTTGTTATCACATGCTTGGGCATTGATTTGAAAGTATATAACAAACAAGAGGATCTTGTGAGGGAAGGGAAGTCAGAAATACATTAATACAGTAGAATTACAGTAATACAGAAGTAATAGTTTTTCTATCACCCTTTTTTCCCCCTTGTAATGCACACTTAGCTGGTAAATGTCACAGGAGCTTCCTTAGTGTAGATCAGTCTCTTTTGCATTCCTTCTGCTCTCCATCATTTTTTTCCATGCTCAAAACTATGACCTTGTCCAGCCTAGGACTGATTCTTTACAGGCATTCTCAGTATTCTCTCTGTCCTTTGAAGTGTTCTGCTGCTGAAATGTCCTGAGTTCTCTTGTACCTTGTGCTGTTTTTGTATGTGGTTTAGTAGAGTTTTCACTGCTCTCCTTCCCTTAACATTATTCCCTTCCCTCTGAAATGGGACAAGGACTCACAAGGACTTTGACTTCAGCACTTTTGTATTTGTGGAGCTCCCATCAATAGAGTTCTCTGTCTTAGAATTCATTTTTCATTAGGTATTCAGTCCATGCTTCCAGGAAATGGGAGCCACATTTGCAGGCAAGATTCAGGAGTAACTGTGTTTAGGGAATATCCTTCCTGATGTTTCATCTGGAATTCTACAGCATGGATGTCATTGCAACAGGAGAAGGTTCTGTAATATCTCAGTCAGTATCTCTTGCTGCCAGCTGTACTGGAGGGAGACACAAAAGTGTATCCTCAATATGCCAAACTATATTTTACATCAGAAAAGAGAAGCACCCACACGGGACTTCTGCAGATCAGAAGGATGAGTGTTGATTCAGGCATTTGGGTTGTGTATGCTGGAGCTGGAGCAAGTTAGAATTTTGGCTTTTGTCCTTCATTTTCCTCAGGCTTTTATATGTGAGAGGTGATGAACTGTGCCAGTTGGTACCAGTCTGTTACCAGGACCTGCTAACAGCATTTTTGACTCAAAACTGCTGAAAGATTCTTAACCTGTTAAGAAACTTCTGGCTCAAACCCCAGTACTATGGCAGCAGGATTTTTCATTTCAGTATGCAATCATTAAACTCGTGCTTTCACATTGATTCTCTGAAGATTTTTGGCATTTCAGTAATACTATGTGAGCAGGTAGTAGACTGATAAACACGATTAAATTCTTACTATTATCGCTATTGCTCTCCAAATCTCTGACTTCAGACATGTTTGTGATGAGAAAATAACAGGCTAATTCATTAAACATGCTTATTAACTGAAATTTTTCTTAGAGCTGCCATAGCTCATAGCTACAGAAAGGTTACCAGCCAATCTTTACACAGGAGAGCCAAGTGGAAAGTACTCTTAATTTACAAACAGAATCTACTTAATTTTTTTATATTCAAGACAATATTAAAGTGAAATATTTTGTCTACAAGTAAATATTCTAGCCATGGTTTTGATTTAGTCTGCACATTTTCATTACCCTGAAAATTATTTAAGTAGGCTAGGAATTGGGTGATATCAGGAAAACAGGGGAATCAGAAAAGAAATTAATCGATTTAGAATTAAACTTTTAAATTGATCTGAGAATAAACCTGTGAGTAGTCATTTCAAATTTCTATAACATGGCTCTAAGATAACTATATGCCTTCAGTGACTAGACTAGGATAAGTTTATCCAAATAATTTTATATTTAATATTTACTTAGTTTGATTTCCCAACTGAACTTACATTAAGTGTGTAGCAATCCCTTGGCTTGGGAATAGTATTCCCCTCTGAGATTATAAAAGTTTAAATGTGTGCTGCATCATGAGCTTTTATATACCTTTCAGAGTCTATTAGTTGATTGTCAATAAATTCAATATGGCACAGGGTTCCAAATGTTGCATTTTCATTTCTTGCTGTCTAAATGAAATCAATATCTATGTACATAGAAGAACAGTAAGATATTTTCCAATAGTTTTAGCTAAGAAATCAATCTACGTTTTTGCAGTCCTGAAAAATTTCAATTACAGTGTACAGGATTCTTTAGTTAGTTAACTATGAGTTACAGCTTAGCAGGTAATATTAAACTGCATGATTCACCAAATCACATGTGCAAAGATAAATGCTTAGTTAAATTAGGATTTCCATACTAAATAACTTAGTTAAAAATAATTTAACTTTTTTTTTTTTGGTCATCCCTGCCCCCCACAGGGAAATTGAAACATGAATCTTGGCAATGTATACAGAATTCCAAACAATATACTGGTTGAAGTGAGAATAGGCAGGGGGAAGGCTCAGAGCTGGGTGAATAAAGATTTTAATATAGTTTTTACTGCATTAAATAAATTTGATTAGAATTATGCAAAATAGTTGCATTTCATGTATTCCTTCATTTGTCTTCAAAGATGTACTCAATTGTTAAAACAGATGGTGATGTAGGTGTTTAATTATCCTGGCTTTGTTTTCAAAGTGAAAAAGAAATCTGAATACTTCTTTCAGACTTACTATTGTGGTTCCATCATTACAGTATCTGAATTCTTGTTACCAAAACTAGTTGAATTTTTGTTTACATATGCATTTGTAATTCACAATACTCTGAATCTTTTAAATTTAGATGTGCTAATTTTGGAATTATAGCATTCCTTTTTGGAATGATAGTCTTCCTGTAGAAAATGTATTAGTGTTTTCTATGCTGAAATATTCTAATTTGACAAAATTTGCATGGTATCTGCATAATATATTGTATTTTGTTGCAAAGAAGCCTCCTATAAATTTGAGAAACTAGTTGTCTGAAAAGAGAACTTCAGAAAGACCAAAGGATGGGCAGTGTTTGTGTAAGAGGACATTCGCTTAACGTCTGAAATACCACCAGTATTTTTTCCTTAGAAAAATGGAATTTTTTCTCTGAAGGACTTGGAATATCTCAGAGAGAAGGACCATACTTCAGTCACAAGGAAAAAAATACAGTTCAGTGTTGAAATTGGCCATATCAAAATCCAAATTTAATTTTTATCTAGTTTCTACAAAAATACAGTTGTTACTGCCCCCTCTGTGTGATGGTGGTTGGTGTTGCTTTTTTACATAAGTGTTCTCCTGATACTTGCCTTACAGTTTACTACTGAATTACTGGGGGATTTTGGAGCTGCAAGGCAAGGCAGTGTCATCAGTACTTTCCAGCTTAATTCCTGATGTAAAATATTGAGATTATTAACACACACACATTAATGAATAAACTACAGATGCCATTGAAGGAGCAGAGGGAAAGGTCACTCTGGATCTTAAGTTCTGATGCTTGGTTTAGAGTTTCTGACTTGTGCTGTTTCAGCATTCTTTTAAACTGTGTAATTCCCTAGGAAAGAGTGAAATCTCAGTTTTCTGTAAGTATGTTTCACTTCTGCATGACATTTTCCTACAGAAAGCGAATATTTAGCATCTAATTGGTAATAGGCTCATGAAATAATGAGCAGCAAACAAAAACAGAATCACAAAAACTACAGCTGTGTTAAATTATACTTAATGTCCTATACAAGCAGAAAGAATGAACTGTGTTTATTTTCCAAACAATAAAATTTCTAGTTTAGTTTTCAATGTAATTTTGTTAGGAAGTAAATTAAGTTTCATACTTTGGATAAAATTAGGTTTTGCAATTCTGATGCTACAAAGCTAATTTACAAAGCTGAAAAACTGTGTTGAGGACATAGAAATCAATTTCATAGTGGTATTAAATTATTTTTTCCTTTGGTCACTGGGTAGTAGAATATGCTGGAAACCATGGTAACAAGAAGTGCTTCCATGGTTGCCCCAGAGTCATGTTAAAATGAGCAAGCTGGGTTTGTCTTGATTAAAATAAGAGAAAAAGGAGGAAAAAAGGGAGAAGGGAGAGAATGAGGTTAATGACGCGTACAACAGCAACAGCAAATGCACTCAGACATGGACCTGTGGCCGTGGGGTCCTGGAGCTTGTGGTGCCTCACATAAAGGTGCTGAGCCAGGAGGCTTTGAGGAGTGAAGGACACACAGCAGCCCTGCTTGTCTTTACATTATTCCCTTCCTGTCTGTGTTTTGCAGGTTTATATCAGGATAAAGGATGATGAGTGGAATGTCTATCGAAGGTATGCGGAGTTCAGAAGCTTGCATCAGAAATTACAGAATAAGTACCAGCAAGTGAGGACTTTTAACTTCCCACCAAAAAAGGCCATTGGAAACAAGGTACTTGAACTCACAGTATCAGTAAAAGTTGGGGGAAAACCTCTCTTATCCATACACAAAAAATGAGGTGACTCAAATATTTTCACACCTCCTAGTAGCTGCCGTTTTTATAGATGTTCCCCCTACCAGCTGGAGATTCACTGATGTAGGTAATGCATTGGTTTTTCCACTTACTGAGAAGTTTTATTGAACGAAATATTGGTGACATACACAAATGCAAAAACCCTCAAAAACTCTACTGGACAGCCCTGTACCTAAAATGAAGCCTCTTTTCCGTTTCTCTCCAAAAAAATGCCAGCAATTAACACTGGTGAGTAATTCATTAAGTCTTTCTGTAAATTTCAAGAAGTATCAATCTAAAGTTCTTGAATTCCTGCACTCTTCACCAACGCTCTTTAAGTTCTTTAAACCAGCTTTTTAAAGACATTTAGGTACTTAATTCCTGTTATCTGTGTCTTTGTGCTTAGCTCTGCCATTTCAAAATGGGAATTTGTGTTTTCTTATCTTACAGAGATTTTTAAATGAAACGGTAAATATCGTAGTATGTATGTAGTAAATATGTTGTTCCATGTAATTAAAATATTTAATCATCAAAACTTTAAACTGATCAAGAGCATAAATACACTTTGCAATGTACACTACAAGTCCAGTAAGGATTGAGAAGTAATTGAAGTAATTTTCCTTTGCAACATAGGAATTACCTCAAAATTTTATTTAGCGATCACAAGTAAAATCTCCAGTATATTGGAGATTTAAATTGTGTTTATGACTGAAACATCTTTACTAAACTGCTGGGTTCTTAAATTAGAGTTTTTAAGGTTAATAAAAATTTTTAGCTTTTACATAAAACTTTCTCTTTTTACTATTTTTTTGCCTTTGTATCACTGAGTTCTCATATTAAATATTTTAGAAGCTCCAACTATAGTGATCCATGTAGTCATCAAAAGACAGCTGACATAATGACTGCAAAACTCAGATCTTCATGGCACTGTGTTTGGTTTAAGACCTCAGTAATACATATATTATTCAAATTCCACAATTGTCCTTTGTCTGTGTTAGAAAAACGATCTTTGCTAATTTGTATGAAGTAATATAAATTTTCAAAAAGAAATAGAAGTTAGAAATTTCTTACTGGCATTCAGATGTCAGTGAACGTGGATTTTGCATGTTTAAAGATAGTAACTTTGACTTCCAGTGATTTCCCAGGTATTTTGTGAAAATGAGTAGGTAAGTTTGACACATGTGAAATGGCAGTGATGCACATAATCTGGGATGGGTGGTGGTGATACAGATGTATATGAAATTTTTCAATAAAATCCATATGTCTGTTTGCTTGGCATAAGGTCCAGTTAATGTGGTTCATTGCCTGCTGACTGAGGAAATGGAAGTACTTATGAAAGCTTTCCTGCTTTTTTTTCATCTATTAGAAGATCATGCATTTTTCATTTAATTTTTAGTGGACGGTTTTGTAATGGAAACCAGGCATTTTCTTCTTTGTTACATAACTAATTCTCCTTTTTTTGAAGTGATGGAGTATCAGCCACTTCAGTAAATTACAAAAGACGCCTTTTAAGCTTTTTTGGATACTCTTTCATCTTTAATTACTTTAAATACTAATTGAGTTACAACTTCACTTGCACAATTGATGCATACAAAATTATCAGTTGAGCAACTCATTAAAAAATTTGCATTGCTTATTCCTACAGTGCTTTAGCTTTGAGCCAAAATTCTACCTTAATCTTGCATAAACCCACAACCACTTATCAGATCTCAGAAAAGGGTTTTTTTCTTTACAGTAAGAAGTGGGTGCCATCCTTGCACTCCTGAAAGTCTCTTGTGATGAGACATGGGGCAGTGCTGTGGTTGTGACCTGGCAAGTCACAGAGTGACATTTTCACCTCAGCTGTGCAAAGCTCAGTTTGTCACACTGGAGTTTTCTTGCACAGCGCATTGTGTAGGCAGATTTTTGTCCTTTTAGTGGGGCTATTTTCTGTGTGTCACAGAATATATTCCCTTTGGAATTTGTTCCGTTTGGAAAATAACTGTGCTGTGTGACTGACTGAGATGGGTTGAAGGCTCTGAGATGGCCCTGATTTCCATGGCCAGGTGAAGGTTTAAAAGGAAGGTTTAAAAATTCAGTATAAAATTAATTAATTCGTGTGGGAATGTCTCTCTTGGAATTCTGCAGAACTTTCAGTTTAGGATGAGGATTTGTGCAGGATGTTACACATGGAAGTGTTTGGTAATAAACATTAGGAGAGATATTGCCAGTACTACTTTTTTCAATACTGCTTTTTAAATGTAGTGGCTACCAAAGCACATTTACCTTTAAATATGCAGTTAGATTTCAATAGATTATTTTTCTCTCTGATCTTACTTTTGCTGGTTTTGATAGAATTGGAGCTGTCGTCCCATTTCTAGATTAATTAATACAATCTTAAATCAATGGCTAAAGAAGAGGTTCAGTAGCTGAATTCTGCTAACAAAAGTATCTCTTACATTAATCTATGGTTTTCATATCCTTTGCAACTTCTCAGTGTTATTAGATGCCCAAATAACATATTGGTAAAAACCAGTCCTCCATGTGTAAATGGCAACTAATTATCATTTTACAGCTTTTGGAATGGCATTGATGCTTTTATATCCTTCAGCTCAGTGCCTGGATGAGTTTATTCACTGCATCCCTTCAATGCACTCTGTACTGTGGGGTTAATGAAGGTGATGTGCTTATTGTGAATGTCAGAGGCATCCAAAGTCTTGCTGTAATTGAAACCAGCACTGAACTTTGTGTTCAGTTACATGCCCCAGATTTAGGAACCTCCAGGACCACAAGAGGACACCATATTCTGCAGAATGACCTGGAATCACTCCTGCAGACTGACAAAATACTGTCCAGTGCTTTGCTATGCAAAATATTGGAGCTCAGAGGAGGGAACTTAACTAGAAGAGAGTAATGTAGAATAAAATACAGAGAAGTATTAATTTTCATGCATATTTTCCCTGTTTACTGCAGTAGAAGTCAGGGAGGTCAGATTCAAATGAAAAAATTGCAGTTTGACATTGGGAAGATGCAGAAAGGAAGCAGAATTTCAGCTGAATGAGTATTTTAAAAAGTTGGAAAATCAAGTATTATATATCTTCATCAAGTAGCAGCGGAATTTGAAAATATTTAACAATTATAACACATTATTATTAATAATAATATAAGTCTTGATCATTATATTTGTAATGTATTTTTGCCTTTCATTTGTTCTCCTTCAGTTAGCACAATTTATCTTAAAAGTTCATGTTCATGGTATTTCAACAAATTATGTATGTAATATTAAAAACTAGCTTTAATGCTTGAGAAAACCTAAATTTCATAACAGAAAACCAATTAGTTGAAAAATAGCTGAAAAGAGGAAAGAATACTGCTTTGGACAAGTAACCTTTTTGCAATTACAAAGAAGAGTGTGTATTTGCCTTTCAGCTTGCTAACCTCATTTTCAGCATATTAGTTTAACATTTGAATTTAGTTTGAACTAAAGTTTGAACTAAAATCAAGCAGGGAAGAGAATAATTTGTTTCATAAATGTTGCTTTGAATCAAGTTAGATATTTACTGAAGGAAAATAATAATGCTTGCAAGAGTCTATGTATTAATTTTAATATAATAATTAATTATATACTAATCCCCATGCTGTGTACCTTCTACTAAAGATCTTTCAGTGCTGGTAGCAAATAGTTGTCAAAATCTTTATGAGTATCCTACAAGAATAACAGTTCTTTTTTCAATTCATCAATGCCTTGTTTGAGTAGAACAAGAAATATATTAGTTCCCTTGTGTTGTGTGTATAAAAGAAATGCCATATACTCAGCATATATTTTAATTCTTTTTTAACATGCAGATCAATTTCTTGAAAACTTACAAATTTCTACTGTATTGTTTGCATTTGTACTGTTCAGTTTTGCAATTTTAAAACATGTTCCCCATGTATCAGCCTGGTTTGTGATTTGCTCAGTATTTTCTGTGAAGCTGCGTATACCAAGATTTGTAATTTCAAACGGATTTTTCTTGCATGAAATAGATTTTTTCCTTTTAGCAAGTCTTCAGGTACTTTGGGTCTTTTGAACTCATCTGTCCCTGCTGCCTTCCTATCAGGAATGCCTAGGACAGGCTGGCTTCCATGGGGCAGCACTGCAGTGTGCCCACTTCTGGGAAGCTCATGAGGAGGAGCTCTGTACAGTCAGCACTTGATTGGAAAGTGTTCCTGTATACAGGAATACAGGAAACCCTTTTTGCATACAGATACAATTTAATTTTTTAAATTTAATATAACATTTAGCTTACATTTGGCTTCTGAACCTTTGTTGGTGTTGGTGTCTCTCAAAATAATGATTAAATATTAATACATGCATATTTACTGGACTGACTAGTCTAATTTTTTAAATATTGCAGCAGCCTTAAAATCCCAGTTGCTGCTTCTACATTGGGCAGATTATAGTAATTGAGTAAAGATATAATTGAGAATCCTCTTGCAAGAGTGTTGTCCCAGTAGAGAACATATCAAAATAGAAATGGTTCTTCAGTTCCACCGAAGACCTGAATTCACTGATTGTCTGAGTGAGGAGAAATTGAATCAGGTAGCTTTGCCCTGAGTGCTGACTTGACTGCATGATATCCTCTGCTTTCCTTTAAAATCCTGGATACCTCATATAGGAAGGATACACAGCACTTAGCTGAGATCAGAAGAGTGACTTTGCTGTGACTTCTCAGTTGCATTGGGGGAACAATACAGAACTCTAAAATAAACGTTTCAAATGTTGATTCAATAAAATGAATATGTACTTTTCACCTATCAGTGGCTAACCTAAATTGTAGATTAATTTGTATATGTCCCTATTTTAAAAATATAAATATTCTATTTGTATATACACATACACATGAGCATGCATATGACAACATCAGACCCCATTTGGGATCTATATGAAGTTGCTTCTGGAATGTATGTTGTGATTCTG